CAACATACCTTTCAAATACAGTCCAGATACGATTCAGATACAGATGTCATTATGACAGTCATTCAGCATATTTCTCAAATACAATCCAGATATGGATTTCATTCTAATGCTCATTCAGTACATCTTTCAGATACGAATCACATACAATCCATTTATGGATATTATTATGATACTCATCCCACTAAATCTGTTGTTTCAGTTTAAGTCTCTCAATGGTTTATCTTGATTCCTTTCCCGTAGACATTTTCTCTGGTTCGGATAAATCACTCCAAAGATTTATTCTGATTCTTCTCCAGTTGAAGTCAAAATTTAGACTTAGTCTAATTTCTGTCAACAATCACCTTTGGATGGCATTTATAAGCCCATCTCCGATAACTCTCTATCATCTTACCAAATGGAATCTTTAAGCCCATTCGCTACATAATCAACCACCACATCATCAAGTGCAAATTTCTGGGCACACTAATGTTCAATCATCTTCCACCTTCAAGTCACGAATGGCAGATTCGCCAATCTAACTCTTCAGGTTTAAGAAGATTGAACAGGGGCAGCTGTTGTACCCCAAAATTTTCCCTCTCATTTTCTCAAGATTTCTCTCGCATGTGTGATTACAAAAACATGTTTAAAGAAATAAAGAGAATGTAAAATTTTGAAGATGTTAATGTGCCTTTTGATTAGGTCAAAAAAATAAACAAGTTGGATTCGATTTAACAAGTTTCAAATTGGCCATATGTTTTCCTTCGAAGTAACCCCCTTCGATCCACAAGTTGGGCAACCTTCTTCAATCTAGCAAGCTTCAATTGGGAAATAGCCTTCCTTCGATCCAAGTTTCAACGGAGGTAATGTGTTTCCTTCGAGCAGCTTGCCTTTATCCATAAGCTAGACCCTTAGACAGAAGTTCAAAACTGTTCAACCCCATACAAAACACTTGCTCCAATCCTTCGAATCTCACTATCTAGACCATGCTTATTGAGACTTGTTTTTCCACTCTTTAATCAAAGCAAGTTCACAATCCCCAAAAACATGTTTTAAACAGTCTGTTGTACTGCTATGCAACAGTCCTACACCAAGCTGCCACAACACTCCAAAACTGCTGCTGACCCAGTCCAAGCCTGCACTATGTCAGTCTCATACTTTCACAAAAAAGGGTACATAACAGCTACATCGAAGAAAACAAGGGGACCGTATACCCAAACTGTTCAAATGTTATTTGATTTCCCCCAAAAACCACATTAAAGCTCCTCTATAAATAAACCTTTCTTCACAACATCAAAGGGGGCGGGAGACGCTGAGAGGAGAGAAAAGGGAGCTGGGAAACAAAACAGAAACCTTTGTAATTTTTGCTCACTCAAAAATCAACTCTACTTTCACCTACAAACACAAAATCAAAATCCATTATCTCATTTTTCCAACTCTCATAAATCATTTATCCAGAACACCCCACACATAGAAGTTTGTTCAAACTCAAGGACAACCTTTTGTGACAACTCTTTGAACCAAAAGCAAACCCCCTGGGACAACTCTTCGAATTCCAGAACCATCCAGGTAGCAGTTCAAGTTCGAAGCCCACACACCAGCTTTGAGGTATGTCTTTCTGACTTTAACTCTTTCATTTCAAACATCTTTATTGATTCATCTTCGAGACTAACATGCAATAATCATGGCCTTCGATGTTAATCTTTTGTGTTTTCCTTTAAGAATTAATTTGTATAGACCCTAAAAAATGTTGGAGTAAAAGATATGCATACTTCGATACAAATCCTTTAGGCTTTGACAGGCTCAAACAGAAAGGAAAAGAATGTGTGCTTCGATACACACCTACTTCGATGCACACACATGCTTCGACACGAACATGTTCACCACACACACATGTGCTTTAATACACGTTCGCTTCGAACACAGTGACTTGTAGGCCTAAATAAAGGAAAGCAGAAGAGATGTGTGAATCAAAGGGCCCAGGCTTTGAATCACACTGGTTTCGATTTGTAGAAACAGGGTCGAAGGAGAGCATGTTTAGATGCATACATGCATGAATCGAAACACGCCTCAACACTGGAAATCGAAGGATTTGCTTTCCTTTATTTTTGCGTTATTCCTTTCATATGTTTTCATATTTTTGCTTCATAGCTTACTTCGATATGGTTGTAATATTTAGACATCCGCTTCATCCCACTTGTAAATTGTACCCCCACTCCCATACTAATGTAATAGCGTAGGATTTAATTTTTATGTAAACTTACCGCTTTTCATTGCTAGTAAAATAGGGTGTGACAAGATAAAAAACAAATGTTAGACAACTCTAACCAAAAACAATGCATGAAAATCAAACACACCATTCACACATGCACCCTTAGGGTAATCTCACTTGTTGCCTCGAAAAAATAGTCATGTCCCTCGAGTATGGCCGTTTTAGCAAAGACCCTCGATAAAAGATCGTAGTCCCTCGATGACCCTCAATGTTGCCTTCGGTAAATGATCTAGTCCCTAAACGACATTGCTAAAACATCTCATAGGTTTCCTTCTATGACTATACAAACGTCCCACGTCTGTCCCTTTACATCCAATGATGGGGCTTCTTACCAAAACAATGGTACGATAGCAACATCTAAAGGAGAAGGAAAAGAATGTTTAAGACCTTTTGAGTAGGTAAATTTCTCCTAGTTACTCGCTTGCTCACAACAAAAACATTTTATACACCAACACTTTCACTTTGAAACATTTTCAAAAGACAACGCTTTGTATGCATTCTTATACAGACGAGAACCGTTATAAAGACACCCTTTTCAAAATCACTTTAAAAAATAAACACTTCTTTGAACTATTTTCCAAACAACACTTTGTATGGGTTCTTATAGAGAAGAGAATAATTACAAAGACACATTTTCAAAATACTTTCAAAACCCCACCACAAAGCACACTTTCAAACAAAATCAAGTGATCTAGCAAGTAACTAAGAGCCCATAGATAACTATGGATGAAAAGGGTGCTAATACCTTCCCTTTTCATAATCTACCCCCCGAACTCAAGAAAACATCTCTAAAGGTCTTTCTTGTTCTTTTCAGCCTTTCCTTATTGGATAAAAGAAAAGTCGGTGGAGACTCTTGCTATCCGCAACAATTGCGATAAAATGCAAAACACCTAAGTTAGTTCTCCCGCCGCGTTATAGAACTGGCGACTCTTCTGGGGATGAATGAAAAGTGGGGTTATCTTAGGGATAGATCACCTTTACTTGTTTCTTTTTTTTTGACTTGTTTGCTTTACAATTTGGTTCCTTGTTTGGGTTTGTTTTGATCCTTTATCCGGATCTGGGCACCTTTTTTGGTAAGTAGCAATAGATTGTGGAAAATGTACGGTGTAGACCTATATGTTTGAAGCAACGGCTATGTTAGTGTGACACATTTGTTGGTACCGGTATCCCTTGTGTTGAATCAAGGAGAATACAAGGTCGTTGAGCGGCGTCATGAAGCACTAACTGACCTTAGAACCTTAATTGAACAACGTGGCCATTAGGAAGTAGTGAGATAGCCGGTTTCGGTGGAAAGATGAAAATTGGTTGATACTCGATACTATGCTCATTGAGATCAGACTTTTGGGATATCTCGGCCGCAAGAAAAGATTGGTTGTGCTGAGACAATGCCTAAAATAAAGGTCAGTGATATTAAGATCCCCTAGAATCCTGGTTACTATTACTAGGACAGGTTGAGCCAATTAAACTTTAAGAGAGTACTTACCTATCAACTCCATGCAAGCCTAAACCTAAGAACTTGTTTGCTTTGTGTGTATATTATTATTTGTACATAACAACTTGCTTACTTTGCATACTTGTACATAAAATCATAACATCATACCATAGCATTTTCAATAACCATTTCAAGGATCTCAAGGGCCTATGATGCAGGGTCATCTTGAACCAGACACCTATTAAGGGGCAAAAGGATTCATTCTCTAAATCAAACATCGTCAAGACCAAAGCATGGCAACTTGAGTCAGGGGCAATGACCCACTTGACATGGTGAGCTTGATTCTCGTGGAAGGACATCCACTGGTACGAAGTTCTCCAATCAAAGTTGTTTATCAAAATTCAACTTCTAACATCTTCTTGTGTTTACCCCGTGAGATCCTTAAAAAACATTGCATCCACATATCATGCATGTCATCATAACAGGTTTTCCCGTACAGGCTTTCTCATCTGCTTACTATTTATTTCAATAAGATATAGCTCTAGAGCAAACAGTTAAAGATCTCCAAGCTCAAAACTCTCAGTTCCAACAAGCGCTCATGAACTTGGCCCAGGGGTAGGAAGATCTGAAAACACTCTTCACCAAAGAGAGCAAGAAGAAGAAAAAGTATGTCATCCTCAACGTAAGGAGAAGGTCCAAGGGGCATGATCGACTAGCTCAAAAAGAAGATGCCTCTTCTAAAGAAGAAGACAGTCAAGAAGAAGAAGAAGCTAGAAGCATTAGAGATAACATAGCTACTTGTGACGATGACTCTTCTAAGGAGCAGTATCCACCGGCGGATGAAAAATACAAATAGCTTGAAGACAGACTAAAAGTTGTGGAAATCCAAGTTGTGACTGGCTTGGACTTAGGAGACATGGGTTTGGTTACTGGAGTGGTCATCCCAACAAAGTTCAAAATCCCTACCTTTGCCCCGTATGAAGGAGTCTTTTTCCCTAAGATGCACTAAAGTCTTATGTCCACAAGATTCAACCATACACAACTGATCAGAAGATTTGGATCCACTTCTTCCAAGAGAGTTTAGCTGGGACGCGGCTTGAGTGGTTCTATCATTTGGAGAGTTCCCACATTCACACTTGGGAATATCTAGCTGCTGCTTTTTATAAGCAGTACCAATACAACGCCAATCTTGCACCAACTCGTGTGCAATTTCAGAATATGGCCATGCGTTCCAACGAGGGCTTCAAAGAATACGCCCAAAAGTGGAGAGACCTGGCTGGCAGGGTGAAGCCTCCTTTAACTGATAGGCAACTGATTGACATGTTTATGGGAACTGACCCTCATTCCAGACCTGGTTATGAGTATAAGAAAGGTGTGTTATTGTATGAGGGGAGGTTGGTCATTTCCAGCAAGTCCACTTTAATTCCTCTTCTACTAAGGGAATTTCATGATACTCCATAGGGAGGCCATTTTGGTTTCTATGAAACTTATAAAAGAATTGCTGCAAATATCTATTGGATAGGAATGAAAGGCGTCATACAAGAGTACGTTAGAAATTGTGATATGTGCCAGAGGCAGAAATACTTAGCATTTTCACCTGGTGGACTGTTACAACCCTTACCGATTCCTGAACAGATACGGGGGGACATTTCAATGGATTTTATCACTAGACTTCCTAAGTCAAAAGGGTATGAGGCTATTTTGGTTGTGGTAGATAGGTTATCTAAATATTCTCACTTTGTACCACTTACACATCCTTACACCGCCAGGAGCATAACATAAGTGTTTTGTAAAGAAGTGGTAAGACTCCATGGTGTACCCCTCACCATAGTGAGTGACAGGGATCCGATATTTATGAGTAGTTTTTGGAAGGAGATGTTCAAAATTCAAGGTACACAGTTGAAACTAAGTACTTCATATCATCCCGAGTCGGACGGACAAACTAAAGTTGTTAATCGATGCCTGGAAACATACTTGAGATGCTTCATAGATGATCAACCCATGACATGGGTAGCATGGGTGCACTGGGAAGAGTATTGGTTCAATACAACATTTTATTCTTCAACTGAAAAGACCCCCCTTAAGATAGTCTATGGAAGAACCCCACCCACTCTGACAAGATGGTTACATGGCGAAACTAAAATGGAGGCAGTGCAGAGAGATTTGATTGATAGAGATGAGGCTTTGAGGCAATTGAAGAGTCAATTATTGAGTGAACGAGAGAAGATGAAGGGTCAATGTGACAAGAAGAGAGTTGACATGAGCTATGAGGTGGGGGATGGGTGTTTGTCAAACTTAGAGCTCATAGACAAAAGTTAGTGGTGACAAGGATCAATGCCAAATTGGCTGCAAGATACTATGGCCCATATCCTATTCTTGAAAGGATAGGTGTAGTGGCCTATAAACTCAAATTACCAGAAGGTTCAAGGGTACACCTTGTGTTTCATGTATCACTATTAAAGAAAGTTGTTGGGAACTACATGGTAGATGAAGAATTGCCAGAATTGCTAGAAGGAGAACATATTGAGACTTATGAACCCGAGACAGTTCTAGCCACCGGAAAAATACAGCAGAAGGGGGAAGATATTAAGCAGTTTTTGATTCAATGGAAAGGCAAAACAGCTGAAGAAGCAACTTGGAAGGAAACGATAATGCTAAGGAGTCAGTTTCCTAAGTTTATCCTTGAGGACAAGGCTCTAGATAAAGAAGGGAGTATTAATAGAGACCCAATTACTGAGTCACCATCACATGAGAAATTAATTCACCACAAGATACAGGGAGCCAAGACTTGGTTGGTATGTTCTAGAAGGGGTAAAAAGGGAAATAGTGGCTAGGTTTGTTAGAATCTTGACGTGGCCATTAGAGTGAGGGGAGCGTACATCGTCCTTCCATGATATAAGGAATGGTGTGAGAGAATGTAGATCTATCTGAGAATTTAGTAGAAAGTACCATGAATAGGCAGCTTTAAGCTACCTATAGGAGCGTTTTCTCTGGTCAGATTAGGAATATAAATTTCCTCTTTCTGTAATCATTTCTTTTCCACTTATTAATAAAAAGCTCTCCTACTCTTTTTCCACTTAAATTCTCATTTTGATTTCTGGTTCGTATCAGACCGTGCAGTTGCTTCAATTAGTTTCACCAAGTTATTTGACCTTGTCAAAGTGAAACACCTCTCTCGCCATGGTTCAGATCATTCTGCTATCAGCATCACGTTGGAAGCAGACATTGAGGATGTTCCTAAAAAGAGGCAACATATTTTCAGATTTGTAGAAGTCTGGCTGAAGGATCCAAAGTGTGAGGCTCTTATTGAAAAGATGTGGAAAAGTCCAATTTTACAGGGGTAACAATGAATTCAAGCAATGAAGGGGATGGATGACCACTTTAACTAGTACAAAATTGGAAAGATAAACAAAGAGATATCCAGGCTTGAGAAGCTTCTTAAGGAAGACATTAGGTGGGATGTGAATGTAGAAGAAATAAAAACCCAGAAGAATATTGAAGTTCAACGCAATGATTTTCTGAAGATGGAAGAAATCATTTGGCGTCAAAAGAGTCAGGCAGTTTGGTTGCACCATGGGGATCGAAACACCAAGTTCTTCCATGACAAGGCCAACCAAAGAAGTAATACAAATACAATCAAGAAGCTCAAGGAAGATCAAATTTTTTGGTGGAAAGGCTACGATAAGTGCAAGAGACTCCTTATCAACCACTTTTCTGAGGGTTTTTTGTCATCCCATCCCTATCACATTGAAGAATGTTGTGAGTGTGTTAAAGATACTTTGGCTCCTTAAAACATCAGTTTGTGTGAAGATCCTTTTAATGTTGGTGAAGTCAAGGAAGCCCTCTTCCAAATGCACCCGCTAAAGGCTCTGGGTCCTGATGGACTCTCCGCTTTGTTCTACCAAAAATTCTGGCATATTGTGGGTCCGGATGTTACTAAATTGGCGCTGGAAATTCTAAAAAACAAAAAAAATCCAGGCCCCTTGAACACGACCTTTGTTGCTTTGATACTGAAATGTAAAACCCCTTCCTCCCCCAAGGAACTTAGGCCGATAAGCTTTTGCAATGTGATTATGAAGGTGGTGACAAAAGCTATTGCGAATAGGCTGAAGAGGTTTCTTCCAGAGGTGATTGATGAGGAGCAAAATGTGTTTGTTCATGGACGTCTTATTACCGACAACGCCATTATTGCAATGGAGTGTTTTCACTGGCTTAAGAAGAAATTGAAAGGGAAAATGGGTGTTATGGTGCTAAAGTTGGACATATCGAAGGCGTATGATCGCCTTGAATGGAGCTTTGTGACTGCTACTTTATCCTACATGGGTTTACCTAGACCGCTAGTTGAGCTAATTCACATATGCATATCTTCGGTTACCTACCAGATCCGGCTCAATGGCCATGCTAGCAAAAGCTTCAAACCTGAGAGGGGTTTCCGACAAGGGGACCCTCTCTCACCTTACTTATTCATTTTGTGCACTAATGTCTTTTTAGATATGCTTAAGCAGGAAGTCCAGAACGGGAGGATTCATGGTATTAAAGTGGCTAGGAAAACACCTGACATTTCGCATCTTTTCTTCGCGGATGATAGTTTTCTTTTTTCAAGAGCTAATTCTCAGGAAGTAAGGAACATTCTGTCTGTGTTGCATAAGTATCAAGGATCCTCGGGTCAAATTGTAAACTGGGAAAAGTCTGAAGCTTCTTTCAGCCGCAATGTGGAGGAAAATGTTAAGGATTTCATTTGCCATGAATTGGGAGTCAAGATGGTCGTGAGCCACACAAAATATCAGGGGCTGCCTGTTATTTTTGGGAGATCTAAAAAGGAAGTTTTTTCCATGGTAAAGGATAGGGTGTGGAAGAAAATTAAGGGATGGAAGGAAAAGTTCCTATCAAAGGTGGGAAAGGAGTTTCTAATCAAAGCAGTGGCACAAGCTATTCCTAGTTATGTCATGAGCTACTACAAGCTCTCAGAAAGCTGCTGCCATGAGATTGAGTCCATGATTGGGAGATTTTGGTGGGGTGCAAAAGATGGGAGGCAGAAAATTCATTGACTAAGCTGGGACTAGTTAGCTTGTGCAAAAGGAGTTGGTGGATTGGGTTTTTGAGGAATTAGTTATTTCAACATTTGCTTGCTTGGGAAACAGTACTGGCGGCTCCTCACGGATGAAAACTCTCTGCTATGCAGGATGTTTAAGGGAAGATATTATTTCAAAAGTTCCATCTTCGAGTCCATGACGGGATTCAATCCAAGTCGCGTGTGGAGAAGTATTCTGAGTGCTAGAGATGTAGTGGAAGGGAGATGTAGGTGGAGGATTGGTAATGGGGAAATGGTTCGAATTTTGAGGGATAATTGGATTCCGGAGTGCCCTGGGTTTAAGGTCCTCAATTATATTCCTAATCTCAGTGAAGATGCATCAGTTAGTGAGCTTATAGATAGAGAGCTTGGTGTGTGGAACTCTGGAAAAGTCAGAGAGTTATTCAATCCAGTGGAAGCAAAGCAGATATTGAGTATTCCCTTCTCTGGAAGTTTCTCCGAGGATAAGCGCATTTGGTATTTTGAAAAGGGCGAAGAGTATTTGGTCAGGTCGGCACACCATTTTCTGCAGCAATCCAGTGTCTCCAAAAAACCTGTACCTTCTGACCATTCTCACAATAATCTGTGGAAAGTCATTCAGAAAGCCCCAATTCTTCCAATAATTCGAAAATTTCTGTGGCGTCTCATAAAAAACATCCTGCCTACAAAAACCAATCTTCAATCGAAAGGTGGTAAGGTTGATATGGAGTGCAGCTTTTGCCATTCAACTCCTGAGTCTGCCTCACATCTTTTCATGCAGTGTGAGTTCACTGTTGGTGCACAAGGAAGATAAAAGACAAAAGGAATATTTACTGATAGCTTCAAAATAAGGATTTACAATGAATTTACAATAACCTACTCCACTAGGCTATTTATACACAAAATTAAATCTAAAATATATCTTCTACAAAGATCTAAGATATATATCTTCTAACAAAGATATAAACAATCTAAAAGATATTCCTAAATATAAATTAATATCTAATTAAATATAAATTAATTCTAACACCATCCCTTAATTTATATTTACCTAAAACTGACAACACTAATTCCATCCCTTAAGAAATTGATGAGTTTTGATAGCCTTTGTCAGAACATCTGCCAGCTACTTCTGAGTGCTACAGTGCACAACCTCTAATATTCCATTCTGAACTTGATTCCTCAGAAAATGATACTTGGTCTCAATATGTTTGCTTCTCCCATGCAACACTGGATTCTTGGAAAGATTGATTGCAAACTTGTTATCAATCATCAACTTCATATGTTTATTTACCTCAATCTTCAAATCTTTTAGCAAGTTCAGAATCCACACAGCTTGACATGCAGTCAGCGCACCTGTAACATATTCAACTTCACAAGTTGACAGAGTAACAACAGGTTGCTTCTTGGAACACCAAGAAATAGGACCTCCCAGAAATTTGAATAAGTACCCATAAGTACTTCTTCTATCAACTCCATCTCCGCACCAATCAGAATCAAAATAACTCATAAGTTCTTATTCGATCTTTCTTCCAGACGGAAATAACACTCCATATTTCGGAGTTCCCTTCACATACCTCAGAATCTTGACTGCAGCTTGGTAATGGGACCACTTTGGTTTTCTCATAAATCTTCTTACCATTCCAACTGCATCGAAAATATCAAGTCTGGTATTACACAAATACCTTAGAGAACCAGCCATCTGTTTGAAGGTTGTAGCATTCACATCCTCTCCATCAGAATCAGAGTCCAACTTCTGATTCATATCAGCAAGTGTGATAGCAAACTTGCAAATTTCTAGCTTAAATCTCTTTAGAAGCTCTAGTTCATACTTCATCTGATGTAAAATGATTCCTTTCTCAGAGTACATAAATTCCATCCCTAGAAAGAAACTCATTTTCCAAGATCTGTCATCTCAAATGCATTCATCATAACTTTCTTGAACTCAACTATCTCTTGTTCAGAACTTCCTGTAAGTAGTATGTCATCAACGTGCAAATAGACCAGAATCATATTATCTTCTGAAGTATGCTGAACATAAACACCATACTCCATCTCATACTTATGAAACCCGTGTTCCTTAAAAAATGAATCAATCTTCAAATTCCAAGCTCTGGGTGCTTGCTTCAATCTATACAATGCTCTGTGTAATTTGAACACCATCCCTTCCTGATTCTTTTTCTCAAATCCAGGAGGTTGTGAAACGTACACTTCTTCTTGTAATGGACCATTCAGAAATGCAGATTTTACATCTAAATGCATCAGAGGTCAATTCCTGTTAGCAGCTATTGCAATCACTAGTCTGATTGTTTCATGTCTCGCTACAGGTGCAAACACTTCAAAGTAATCCAACACAGGCTTCTGTAGGAAGCCTCTTGCTACTACTCTTGCTTTGTGTTTTCCAATTGATCCATCTGGCTTTAGCTTCTTCTTGCAAATCCATCTGACACTGATGGCTTTCTTGCCTTTTGGAAGTTCTGTCAGCTTCCAAGTATTGTTTCTCTCTATAGCATCAAGTTCTTCTTTCATGGCCTGTAACCAAACTTGCTACTTAATAGCCTCTTTCGTACTCACGGGTTCAGAATCTACTAACATTTCACACTGAATAACTTCTCCTTCAGAGTTTACTTTAGTGTCTAGAAACATGTCAAACTCTGCAAATCTTCTTGGGATGCTTCTGACTCTTTATTGCCTCTGAACTGGACCTTCAGAACTCTGGACACCAAAACTTTCCCCTTCAGAAGCACTTGCTTCAAGAATTGGACTTTCTCCATAACCTTGACTGTCTTCAGAGTCTGGATCACCATCGGAGTCAGAGTCAGAATCATCTTCTCCTTCTATATCTTCTTCAGAGTCAGAGTCTTTATCAGCTTCAAAAACATGTGTTTCTAACCTTTCTTCAGAAGTTTTATCGTCATATTCAGGAAGAGACTTTTCTCAATTCCAAACTTCTGATTCCTCTACAATGACATCTCTGCTGAACTCAACTTTGTTAGTTTTTGGACAATAAAGTTTGTACGAACCTGTACTGTGATACCCCACCAGCAACATCACTTTACTTTTATCATCCAACTTCTGTCTTCTGGCTTCTGGGACATGTTTGTAACATACAAAATCAAACACCTTCAAATGACTAACACTTTTCTTATCTCCATTCCACTTCTAAAATAGGAACTATTTCCTTTAATTTCTTCGTCGGACATATGTTGAGCACATAACATGCAGTTGCAACAGCTTCTCCCCACAGAGTATGAGGAAGCTTCTTCTCTTTCAGCATACTTCTCACCATATCTAGCAAAGTAATATTTCTTATTTAAGTAAGACCATTGTGTTGAGGAGTATATGAAGAAGTAACCTTATGCTCAATTTCATTCTCCTCACAGAAACTTATGAATTTTGTGGAGTTATATTCACCACCATCAGTTCTAAGAATTTTTAGATTCTGGCCACTCTGATTCTCAGCCTTCAGTCTGAACTTTTTGAATTCAGAAAACACCTCGTGTTTGAACTTTATGAGAGATACCCATGTCATTCTGGTGAACTCATTAACAAATGACACAAAGTATTTATTCCCTCCAGTCGATGCTACTGGAAATAGACCGCACACATCAAAATTTACTACTCCCAAGGCATGTTTTGCTCTTGGAGCTACTTCTGATGCAAAGGATAATCTTGGTTGCTTCCCTTCCATGCACACCTTGCATGACTTTTCAGGCTTCTTGATTGTAGGAATTCCATGTA